TATGCACGAGATTCGATTGCTAACTTACAAGTAGCGCTAGTTCACAAATGGGAAAGACCAAAAAGAAAATGGTGAGTGTACCTTTCCACCTTATACCTGAAGATACACTCACCTTCTATATCATTTGATAGACTCAACGAAATTAGGACAGCAGTCAGCGAGAGGCCCATATATAAAGGACCTGGGGATAAGTACCACTGGCAGGGGCTTAAGAGTTGGTTTCCTGCCACCGATCTGAACATCTCACGGCCGCGCTGTGGCCACGTTGACAAGTAATCGAAAGGAAGACTAAACCCCCTCGAGATGGACTTAGCCCCTGAGCACCGTCAGGCCGTCGCCCATTTTTCTAATTTTAAAACAGAGAAAAAGACTGAGGGCCAGTGCTCACAGCCAGCTGGATGGAAGAGAGCTGACACACAGGCAGATGATAGACGGGATGCTGCTCGGAGATAAGACTTTTGTCGAGGGCATACTCGCATCGGGCGTTTCTCGACAGATTTCTGGACGCAATTGCGTCCACGCACATCCGCACGTGGCTGTAATTCCGGTCAGATACATCTTGTAAAGCCCTAGCCTAGTGTGACGATGCTCTTAATAAGGCATTAATTTCTGGATCGATGAAGGGTCATACTAATCTTCTCTGCATAGACGATGTGCGCGTTGCTGAGTACTGTACATGCGCCGCGTCCCAAAAAAATGCAAAGCCCTTCACAAGCATGTACTGAAAGCAGTTCCAGTTCGGCAAACTGTTTGCCGCCGTTCTTCTCTGTTCTGACTCTCACCCCAGTCAGCAGCTTAGCCGTTTGGTTGAGCGTGCAACTCCGATCACCCCGAGGTCGCGTGTTCGATTCTTGAGATCGGATCATGGACGACAAATGCAAAAAAAAAAAAAAAAAAAAAAAGCAATTCTTGATAGCGCAGTAACCGGCAGCGAGGAGACACATTGAATGGCGGCATGGACGAAAAATGCAATTCTTGCCAGCGCAATAACCGCCGGCAGTGAGGAGACACATTGAGTGGGTGGAGACACATTGAGTGGTGGCTGCATCGACAGGCCTGGGTGGTAGGGTCAGGTGTTCAGGTGTGAGTGTGACTGGGTACGCCGGGAGGCGGGAAACTGTGCCGGGGTGGGGTTAAGTACCAATCTTTGGCCAGCTTAGCCGTTTGGTTGAGCGGTCACCTCCCATGAGGGGGTCTCAATGAGGAGGTCGCGTGTTCTATTCTTGACATCGGATCATGGACGAAAATGCAACTCTTCTTCTTCTTCTTCTCAGACTGGTCGGAATGTTGGGTGGTGGTCCCGGAAGGCGGATCTGGGGAGAAGCCCCCTGAGGAGTGAGTGCCAGGAGCGCAGCCTGGCTCCAAAAAAACGCGTCGGGGAATTTGCGCGGGCGTTTTCAACTGAGAACTGTACATGCGGGCGGAGAAGTATTGAAATATCTTGTCGATGCGTGTGCGAGAAGCAGTCTATGGCCACTGTTTTTCACTATTCTTCTGCTGCTGCTGCTGCTTCTTTTAAAAAAAGAGAAAAACAAAAAGAGCAAAAGGCTTGAGATATCATCGTGAAACTGACCAACGCCCAACGCTAGGTTATTCATGAATTTCGTTCATCGTGTACCATCTGGACTCGAACACAGGTCACCAGTTTATGGATGTACCAACTGAGCTGAGTCCGGAGGTTGCTTTTTCTCTTTCTTGTTGCTGTTTTTCCCTCTTTTTTATTTTTATTTTCTTTTTTTCTTTCCAATTTTTCTCTGTTGTTCATCGAAGGACAGATGAAGCGCATACAGCAACGAACAGATACAGAGTTCCAAGTCCTCACCCTATCATGTCGCGAAGAAGAACAGAGTGCGCATATATCAACAGACAGATAAAGAGTTCGATTCCTCACCCCATGGCCGGCGTTCTCCCAAGTCCATTCTGCAGTGTAGATCGACGATACAATAGCGGCTTAGAAGACGGAGACCTCCCTCCCACCTGCGGGCCGTCATCTTTGCGTCTCCAGCTCCATTCCGCCTCGTCCCTCGGCCGTAGACCATCATGCACAAGTAGCCGCGATCCAGACACGTGTCGCACCCACGTAAACCACATTAACATCAGTGCCCCCAACACCCCCATCACGCCGCTTCTCGCCATTCTCTCTCTCTCTCTCTCTCTCTCTCTCTCTCTCTCTCTCTCTCTCTCTCTCTCTCTCTCTCTCTCTCTNTCTCTCTCTCTCTCTCTCTCTCTCTCTCTCTCTCTCTCTCTCTCTCTCTCTCTCTCTCTGTGTGTGTGTGTGTGTGTGTGTGTGTGTGTGTACACGCACACACAAACACACAAGCACCGCGCGCGTCGCTGTTTCGCGTAGTTACCAGCTTGCTTCGGGTTTGTCGTGTACAGATGTTCTCCACGCAAAGCGAGGAGCCCACACAGACGGAGCACGTAGCATAGAGTCGGGACGGGAGTCCGTCGGCAAGAAGAAAACGACAAC